TCCTGTAACTGGCTTTGTCCCAATTCTCTTCTCTTGAAAACCTCTTTTGGTAATCCTACCCACTTCTAAGCCTTCAGTAATGGGAAGAAAAATCTTCTTAGGAAAAAAGAGTAGATGATGCACATCAGCCGAGGAAAATGAGAAGGTGGAGAAGAACTAAGGCCTCTATTTGGGGATCTCAGAATCGCGATTGGGGGAGCACAGATTCCGGAGGAACCAGAAAAGTATCATGATCACGTGAGGAAAGCAAAAGGTTTTTATGAGAAAGAAGGAGAGGTTAATTCCATGATTTAGATAGAAAAGAGAAAAAAACAAAACAAAAAAACCCAAAAACCTGCTAATTTGGTGCTGACCAGTGGCGCCACTTCAGATTATTAGCTTATTGATGATTTTATTGGTGCTATCAAATGAAAGTGTCCCTGGCACATATTAATTCACTTCACTGTCCTCACATGATCCAAACGCCAGTTGCTCTGTTGAAATTTTATGAGCAACTGCTCGTAAAACAGTCACCGGCTGTGGCCCAGTTCAAGGGTTCATTAGTTGGAAAAGGAAATGGAACTTTGAAATGGAGGCTTTTTTTTTTTAAGATTTTATTTGTTTATTTGAGAGAGAGAGCTCGAGCGAGCAGGGGGAGGGGCAGAGGGAGAGGGGGAAGCAGACTCCCCGCTGGGCAGGGAGCCTGATGCCGGGCTTGATCCCAGGACCCTGAGATCCTGACCCGAGCCAAAGGCAGACGCTTAACCGACTGAGCCACCCAGGTGCCCCGAAATGGAGTCTCTTATGTGCAGAAATTTTATATAATTCCACATACGTTGTCAGGCTGGGGAATGCTCTGTAACCCTTCTGGCCACCACAGACTTTAGCACTCTGGGGCAGCCTGATGAGGGTGTAGTGCTCTGATGAACCCTTCCTTGAATAATGTTTTTATTTTTAATTAATTAATTAACTTTTAAAAGCTTTTATTTTTAAGTAATCTCTACCCCCAACGTGGGGCTTGAACCTACAGCCCCAGATCAAGAGTTGTGTGCTCTACCGACTGAGCCAGCCGGGCGCCCCGAACAATGTTTTTAAATGCATAAATTAAACACATGGGATTTCAACCAATAATGTTGAAATAAATTTATCAAAATATTTTTTTTTAATTTGTGAAGGAGTAAGGTATATTGTGCACTACTTATTCATGAAATAACAAGATCTGACGACCCCCAGAATTTCAAAGCAGTGCTGAGTACTTGGAGATGTTGGCAGTAACTGTACCAGATTCTCCCTGGTGACGGACTCACAAGTGCTTCTAGTATTCCTGTAGGGTTTTGCCTGTTTTCGCAACTGAAGAGAATGTTAAATTTCAGTTAGAGAGCAGGGAAAGTAAAGATTAAGCTCAGAGAGTCCTGTGAATTCTATCCAAGAATCCAAGGGTAAGAACACCTGGTCTAAAGATTTCTAGAAGAGATTGGAAATCCTCTTTTGTCTGCCTGCCAGGAGCCGCAGGTCGCACCATGAGGAAAGTGATGGAGCAGAGCCAGGGACAGGTGGGCAGTTACTCCACATCCCTCATCCCGTCTGTTTCATTTGTCTGGGCTTCTTGAGTTTCCTCTTGTCTTCCTCAGCACCCCTGTTAAACTGAAGTGAAATTGAAGCTAGTCCCTTCTCTTTGTCGGCAGCTGTTGTGTTTTGGTTTTGTTTGTTGGAGGGATTCTCTCTGGTTTTATTTCTAAATATAGCCTCTAGGGGAACCTGGGTGGCTCAGTCGGTTGAGCATCTGCCTCTTGGTTTTGGGTAAGGTCATGATCTCAGGGTTCTGGGATCGAACCCCATGTCAGGCTCTGCACTCAGCGTGGAGTCTGCTTGAGGATTCTCTCCCTCTGCCGTTTCCCCTGCTCTCTGTCTCTCTCTAAAATAAATGGATGAATCTTTAAAAATATATATATACAGTCTTATAGGGGAGGCTGAAACTGCTCGTTACCTGGGGTCTTCCCCTCATGCTTCTATTAACTCAGACAATTGGGCTTTAAATGTGGATAGAAGTTAAAAATATCCAACTTCAACCTCTGTCAAAGGTTATGAAGTAGATTTTCAAAAATCCCCTCTCTCCACCTTTTTAACCTCATCTCACCTTGGCCTCCCAAACACTGCATTCTCCTGGATGTCTCTTGCCTCCCTGCGTCTGTGTTGGTCCCTTCTGAATCCCTATCTGTTTCACACTCTACCAACCAGAGAAATGTAGGCATGCCCCCAATGTTAGGCTTTAGGCTAGTTTTCTCTTCATTTCTCCCCCTTGATGATCTCTCCCAACCCTTGGTCTACCTCCTTTCCCATGTTCCTCATCTGTTTAGTAGACCCCACTCACCCCCATCTTTCCAGTAGTTCTGATTTCAGGGAAACTCAGCAGAGATTCTTTGGATGCTTCCTGTGCCCTGAACAATAGGTTACGCACTATGGCTACAATACTGAACCAGTGGAGCTGGTCCCTGCCTTCCTGCACCCCATAACCTATCAGGGAAAGTCAGCCTTGAACAAATAATTTCAAGAGAGGGAATAGGATGGAGGGGGAGTAACAGGTCATGCAGGGCTTGGTAATCAGGGAGAGCTAGCCTAGTTGGGGAGATAGGGAAGTCTCTCAGAAGAAGTAATGTTTAAATTAAGACCTTGTAAGTTAATTGAGAGGTAGTAGTGTAGGAATGGTGATTGGGAAGATCCACACGAAATGCCAAAGTCTGGAGAAAATAGCAGGGAAGGAGCGAAAGATGTCTTGTGTGCTTTGGTGTAAAACTGAAAGAGGGTGTTTGAGTTCAGTGAGGCTACGAGGAGGCAAGACTAGACTGGTACACACTTGCCAACCATCTTAGGGGGTTGGGGGGACATCATCCTAAGGACAGTGGGGAAGCCCATAGGAGGTGTTCATCAAGCAGCAGAGTGCTTAGGTTTGCATTCTTAAATGATTAACACAAGTACAGTATGGAACGTGGTTGGGAGGGGCAAGAATCCATGCAAGGAAACCATGAGAGATGGTTATGGTCGCCCTCTTAAGAGACGATGTGTCGACCCTGCAGGAAAATCTGTCACCCTTGACTCCTGCCTGATCTTCCTTCACCTTCTCCTCAAGCCCATCAAACACTAAATCTTTTCAGATTTCTTTCCTAAAACAGTGTTGCCTGCACGCCTCTTTTTATTCCCACTGATTGAACTCAGACTTCTTGTTTTCCTTCCTGAGCTGGCAGTCATGTCCACTCTCCACCGCTGTTTCATTTCCGGGTCTCCTTTTCTCCTTCCGGTGGCATGCAATGTGCCTGAAGGTGAGCCCCTGGCAAACTTGGCTGCTCCCAAATGCACCAAACGAAGCCCAAGCTCCTCTTCCTGGCTCTGTCTGCCCTCTCTGCCAAGGCAAGCTCCTGTCCCTCCCACCTCACCCCCTCCTGGGCTCACCTCACAAATAGCCGAGGACACCGTTGGGCAGGCTCCTTCCTCTACCTAGAACTCCTGTCTCTTCCAGTTCACCCATAGATGCATTTCAAGTCCCACCTCCACCCAATTCCACATGCCCCCAAGCCCCAAGCCCCAACCAGAATCAATTTCTCCTTCCTGCCCATACACAGTGGTACTTCGGATGATGCATTATCTATCTAGTTGAACTTCTTACTCCCGTTTCACCATTGCGTGGAGTCTACCTCCTGTTTGAATTATTATGTATGAGATAGGCTGTCTCTCTGAATTATAAATTCCAAAGGACTAGGGCGATTTGTCACAGTCATTTCCATGCTGCCTGTCCTGTGCTCATCAGACCTCAGCAAATGTTAAACTTGATTGTAGATGGTGGTAGGGTGATCAGATCCCCAAATTGTGGATGTCTCCGGGTCACATACCCAACCCCGTTCTGGCTGCGATAGTCATCAAATGCACAAGAACATTTTACCAAGACTATTGCTTTTGTTTCTAAAAGTGCTAAATGGGACAAGTCTCATTAGGAGAGACAGCTAACAATTTTAGTGAGGAGTGCTAGGTTCCGTGTTGAAAGCTGAAATTCACTCTGTAGTATTTCTTGAGCCCTAATTATGTATCCAGCACTAGGGAGGCATAGCTATGAATGAAACGGATCTCTGTTCTGGAAGCATTTACAGGTGTGCAGTTTTCCATGAAGAGTTACAAGAGAATTTACATTTCCAAAACTGGGGAAAAAAATAATTCATTCCTTTAATAAAACATTATGTGTCCCCTGGCTAACTTCAGAGGGAAAAACCACACAGTCTTCACCTCCATACCCAGCTGGGCCAGGGGCAGTGTATGTGTTGTCAATATACAAGGAAGTATCAAAAGACAAAATACATTCATTGGGATACTTTTGTTGTATTTTATTTAAGGTTTGATTATTGCGATTATTTTATCCATTCTTTATCTCCCACTTTACCAAAACCCTGCAACAGGTAGGTTTCAAATATTTCCTCAGATCATTTTATGCTTTTGGCTGCAAAGCATCAATAGATGTTAAGCAATAATAATAGTACGTACTATTTTTATTTTCTAGTAGTAAAAAAACTCATAATATTTCAGTTTCTAAATTAGTTCTATATACGCCCAACATTGTCCTAGAAACTGGAGGTATGCAAAACATAACTTATGGCCTAAAGTAGCTCACAGAAGTGCTATTGTATATAAGAATTGCATTACTATAGGAAAAAAGGAATGTATTACTAGAGGAAGATGCTTGTGTAGGAAGCTCTGAATTTTTCTTTCAAGGCTAGTTTGAAACTGGACATTGGAATCTATGATTTTCTGAAATATGAGCAAATCTGGGGAAAACCAGAGCATCTAAACTCTCAGAACCGAAGGTTAGCAGAGGGGAGATGTAAGAGACCTTTGGTGGAAAATGTAAATAATGAGGAACATATATATTCAAAAAGAGTGAAGAGTATGTTCCAGATGTCTCTGTCTGCATGTATAAAGATCTGTGGCTTCAAATTTGACTAGATTTTGTTTGTTTGTTTTTCAAAATCTTTTCTAAGAATTGCCCTGGTGGAAAATATTCCTGAAGGCCTTAACTATTCAGAAAATGCACCATTTCACTTATCACTTTTCCAAGGCTGGATGAACTTACTCAACATGGCCAAAAAGTCTGTTGACATAGTGTCTTCCCATTGGGATCTCAACCACAGTCATCCATCAGCATGTCAGGTAAGCTGCATCTTCTCTGTGTGTGATGATTTTACTTATGTGCATCTTCCATGCCTTTGGGTTCTGGCCTTCACTTCTTGAGTTCAAGGTCTCTTTCTTAGTCTACCTCCACCCACAGTACCTGTACATCATTGTATTCATGTGTAGGTGCCATTGTTGATCATGTGTCGCTCAGCTCCTGCTAGAATGCCAGGTTTTCAAGGGTAAACTCATGTTTCATCTGTGCATATGGTGGGCTCTCCAACAGCATTGCTGATTTGGACCACTTCAGAGGGCGCCATTCACGCCATGGTATCTGTGGACAGCACACCCCAGAATTCTGCTTTGCTCCACCTGCATGCTTGTAGAGCGAACCCTGTGCCTGCTTGCTGAAGCATTTATTTGGTTAATGGGTGTCATAATTCGCCTTGAGGATCCAGAGCCAACTTTTTTCTTTAATAGTGGAATCAAACTCCACAGTATAGTTGTATATTCTTGGCTGTGTCCTATTTGACTGAAGAGGAGAGAGAAATGAGCTAATTACAAGAACAGCTTTTAGAAATCTGATGAAATGATATAAATGAATTCTGAATGAAATGTTGTGGAGATAGGAAGGTGATTCTGGTCATCTCTGGGAGTTTTTTGTTTTATTTCTTGTTATTTTGTGTCATAATGACCACAGTAGCGCTGAGCCACCCAGGCTGTTCTACCCAAGTATATGACCACTGGCCTGCACTTAAACATCCTATCTGGTCAAGGATAAAATCAGTTTTGTCATATATAAAATGTATTGGCATTAAGCCTACAATCACTACTTCATTGGTGCTTTGAAATCTTTTATTCAGTTGTACTATTTTAAAATCAAAGGATACCAGAAAATAGATAAAAACAAACAAACAAAACCCACAAAGGCTGTGCTGAAGAAGAAAATAAATTTACTAATTGTGTTCTGCACTTTTCTGCCTCTCCTGTTTACGCAGGTAGGTCAGGTATTTGCTGCTGCATAGATCATTCCAAAACTTAGTGGGATCAAAAATAATAATCATTTGGTCATGATTCTGGGAGGGGTTTAGCAGAGAGAACTCGTCTCTGATCCACATAGTGTTGTTTGGGGTGGCTGGAATGTCTGGGCCTCTCTCTGCATATGTCTCTCATCATTCAATAAATGAGCCTGAATACTTTAATGGGAGGTTATATCATAACAGCCAAAAGCAGAAAGTATGAGGCCTTTTAAGATTTGGGCTCTGGGATCACAGCTGCTTCCGCCCTATTCTATTGCTCTAAGCAGGTCACAATCCAAGATGGGAGGAGTGGCATCTATATGGGAATAAGGAAGATTGTTGGTAGGCATCTTTGGAAATTATATATCACAGTCCATTCTGGCCATAGCAATCCATATCTCTTCCACATATGAAGTACCCACCCCCATTACAGCAAAGGCTCGAAGTTCAGGATCTCCTCATCTGCATCAGGTCTGGATCAGGATGAGGCTCCTCATATGGGCTTCTCTTGATTTAGAAACCTGTGAACTAGAAGACAAGTCAGATGCCTCCCGACACACACTCCCAACCTATAACGGGGAGGCAGTGATAAGATAACTACAGTAGATACCTTTGTTTAAGTGGTGGGGGTGGGGGATGGAGAGCACAGACCAGTCCTGAGCCCATAGCAGTTTTGAAATCCAGCCCGACCCACGCCGTGAGGCTTCCAAGCTCAGAGAACAGGGAATGCTGCTGGGCTCAGATCTAGTTCTGCTCCCTGGGGGCACTTTCCTAATCTGTGGTTCTCAGAAGCTCTTTGCTCCCCTCTGTGTTGTTCTTTCTCTTCCATAAGAAATAGCCTGTGTTTGCTTTCAACTTTCTTAGTTGACTTCCTGCTAGTAGAATCTGAAGCCCCAGAGACCTCTGTTCATTTTAAAGCATCTCTGTTCCTTTTTTTTTTTTAAGACCAAAATGGTATAATCCCTTCAACCTTTGTAGACTTAATCTGTATCCAATCATAAACTACTCTGTTAGCAAAAACCCTGATGCCAAACACTTGGCCGTGGGTCTTCTCTACTTTGGACTGTGATTCAGGCTGCTTCAGGACCTGTCCCTTAGAAAGTTGCCGGGAGCTCTTTGGCTGGCTGAGGGGGCCTGTGAACTGCCCACCACTTTCGGTCTTTCTGAGATCTTGATGAAGAATCTTACTGCCCTGTCTGTCATTTCATCTGTACCCTGAGGCCATTTCTGACTGGGAGAGTATTTTGCTGAATTGAGCGACTCTTCTAGATTCTCTACATTTTCTCAAACTTCTGCATGAAAACAGAACAGCGCTTCTGCCCATATACCACTAATGCTTTGATAACCTGCCTGACTAATCTCCTTAGCCAGGTCCACAAACCCATTAGTCAATGGGTTATTTCAGTTATCTGTTGTGGTGAAACAAACAACTCCAAAACTTAGTATTATTTCCTGTGATCCTGGGAACAGGATGCACAGCTTTTTGCTCCAATAGTGTTGGCTGGGATCTCTCAGGTGGTTGTGTTTGGCTGGGACAGTGGCTGGATCTGGACTGTCTGGGGGCTGGTCAGCTCTTGTTCTCCCCAAGTGGACACTCATCACTCAATAATCTAACCCTGGCTTTCTACCGGGCAGCTGGATCCCAAGAGGGCAAAAGTGAAAATTGCAGGACCTCTGAATTCCTGGGCTCCTAGAACATGACTTTGGCCACATTTTGTTAGAGCAAGTTCACAAGGTCAGCAGTCCACATCCAGGGGAGGGGCAAGAGATTCTAGCAGAAGCATGCTAGTTCAGGAAAGGGAAATTGTTGGCAGCAAACTTTGGAAACAATTTCCTATAGCAGGTTTGATGGTGTGAGCAAGAGATAATTCAAGTTGTCTTTCCTTTGTCCTGGACAAGACCAGCTCATAACCACTGAATTGAGCAGGAACTACAAGCTTTCGTTTGACCTGCTGAGCCATGCTGGTATGCTGGGGCCCAGACCAGCACAGGCATCCATGCTGTGTGAGCCCCAGGCTGTCAACGTCATGGGTACCCCTGAAGAGCTGGGGGTATCAAGCACACAGTGGGCAGATTGGCGTTTACTCTTGGGCTTGGTGACCTAGTTGAACTCTTTTCTGAAATGCTGTGCCCCCGGAATGATGGATTTTTCTCCCCAACTACAAAATGATCTTTGCTAACTGGCTTTATTTTTCCCAGAGGCTACTATTTCTCTCTGAGCCTGCCCTCAACCCTGGTTGGCTTCCAGGATTTCTGTAATCAATCTAGGCTGGGAGTTGATGAGGCTTGGAGGTCCCAGAAAACCTACAGCATTCTCCAGGGCTACCCATTAAATCCATTTGCAGGATTCAGGGTGATTCTGGGACTGAGGCAATAAGCGGAGCATCTGGTAGTCTTGGCCAGCTCTGGGGACTGGTGCATGGTGGTTCAAACCAGTGGAACAGGGGTGCTCACGTGTCTCTATAGGTAATGTAGAGTCCCTGGATGGGTAGTGTTAAATGGACATGATTCTCAGAAGCTACCTGAGGACCCCTGGCCTCTCCTCGTTTTTAGCCTGACCTTTCACCCTAATCCTTCAGGTGTGAGCTAAACTGTCACTACTCAAAGTTTGGCCCTGGGACCAGAAGCATCTTTTTTCCCTGGGAGCTTATAAGAAATGCAGAATCTCAGGACCCACCCAGCCCTACCTGATTCAGGATCTCCATTTCAATAACATCCCCAGCTGATTTGTATGCGCAGAAACATTTGAAAAGTTCTGAACTACCCCATTCAGCCCTCTTGTTCTACAAGCCCAGCAAACCCTCCTAGGCGTTCACACTATCGGGTCGAAGATGGGTCACAGAAAGGCTGTGTCATGGCTCATGGTCAGTATTCAGTTCTACTCACGGAGCATGAATGAGGTTCTGGGTCTGCTTTGAATAACAGAGGCAAGCATGGTGCTAGGCACATACGAGGTGCTCAGTAAGTATTTGCTAAGTAGTTGTTGAATGGATTGTGTCAAACAGAGACAAAACCAGACACTGGTTAAAGTTCTAAGGACAGATTTAAATCGGGAATATATTTTTGCAATAGGGAAGAGGGTCCGAGTGAACTGAACTGAACTCAGATTTGTACAGAGATGATGGAGCATTTTTTAGGGAGAATGAGGGAGGTGGGGGACTGTGGGCACTTAAATAGGACCAGGGAAGTAGAAGTTTATAAAAAGTGGGGAGAGGGATTTGGTCCATAGGAAGCCCATCTGGGGTTTGCTAAGTGGTGCTTGTCAAAGCTAGGTTCCTACCCTCCCATAGAGACTGGGAGACAGGGGCCTTCTCGTCAGGTGTTGGCAGGAACAAACAGCAAATTCTTTTGGCAATCTTGAGCCTTCTGAAGCAGGTGCGTTAACGGAGCAGGGTCATCCTGGGGATGGGGCCTTGAACTGTTGAAACTGTTAGCATTTTGTTCAAGCCTTTTAATGAGGGAGGCGAGGAGGGAGCCAGGTGGGGTGGATGAAGTAATTTGTGCTGAGAGTCTGCAGTTTTTATAAGACAAGGTTGAGCCTGGGGAAGAAGAGGGCTCAGAGGAGCCCGGCTGGAGCTTGGTCAAGGAGAGAATATTAGCTGGTCACATGACCTCAGAGGGCATTAAGGTGGGCATTACTCACGGGGAAAGAAGACTATGCCTGGAAGCTTAGTTCAGGTCACTCCAACAACCAGCCTCCTGGCAACAGTGGAGTCTTTCAATTTACTGCCAATAACCTGGCTGTGATTGAACTCACACAGCACACCTTTAGGAGGACACCCAGTTAGAACTGATGTCTTCTGGGGGAGTCATAGCGCTCCTGCCAAAGAGACGCCTCTTTGCTGCCTCTTGGATCTCTCACAGCACAGGGAGCCTTGTAGATTAAAAGCAGTCAGTTTCTGCAGAGTGCTGGATGTAATTTCCTGCGTCTTCCTGAGGAGAGCTCTGCATGCACAGACAGGAAGGAGCACCGGGCTTCACCTGCTTGCACAGTAAGTGGATTCAGGCAGGCTGTGAGAG